GAGTGAGGAGTGTGTGTGTGTGTGTGTGTGTGTGTGAGAGAGAGAGAGATGGGTTATGAAGGAGGGAGAAGGGGGGGTCTCCTGGAACTCAAATGGTTCTTTGTTTTGCACCAGTGACTCATTTTCAAGATGTTGTCTGCTGCCAGCTTCATTCCGGAAGTGCATGGCAATTAGTCTGCGAGGTCCAGACGAACCAGAAAGTCGACTTTTAAAGAAGACGTGACCGTTTTCTTCTCAGCTCTCTGGTGTTGACTACTTTTTAAAAAAGTATTATTAAAGTTGTGCCTTAAACCAAATTTGGTTGAACTTTAATGTCTGTGCCAAAGAAGACCCCCCTCACTCCCTCTCCCGCCCCCCCCCCCTTTACGCACAGCGATGGCACTTTTTTTTACGCGCAGATCGCACTATCTAACAGAAAAATGTTTATCTGTGTTAAAACAGACTTAAAGAAATCACGTAACGGCGCTATTTCTCTAACCAAAACGCACGGATGCGCGCTCACGAGGAGTAGAAAAAGTTGCAGAAAGACGGTGACATCCACCTACCCAGCAGTGTCCGGCGCCTGGTTGTATGTCCGTCTGCTTGTTGTTGTCCTAACAGAGCCGGTGACGTGTGTGGTGCTGGAGCTCCATCCTGCTGCTGCTGCTGCTGCTGCTGCTGTCTGAAAGCGGATCCACAGCTTCTCTGTCCCTGCTCAGAGCAGGAAGTCGGGACGCGCAGACGGAGAACCGGCGCACTTCCCCTGGCGCAGGATTCCTGTCTACTCACTTACGCGTGCACGCGCGCACTGACATAGGACGAGAGAGAGTCTCGATATCTCATAACACACACACACCACTCCGGTAAATCATTCAAACCACGTGCACGTCCTGCAGCAACACACACACGCACACACGCACAGTAAGAGCCAAGTGATGGCTGACGTCACTTTCTTCCTGTTCAGCGGGAGGGGTTCCTGTTCCTACACACACACACACACACAGGTTAAAGTTGGCCATTTTGGTCCACACTTTAACACATACAAGTTTAAAACCGAGATAAAATAATTAATTACATAAATCGATCATATCTATTTAAAAATAGTAAAGCTTTTCTAGTTATTACAAAGTTTTAATAATAATAAACATCATGATCATAATGATATAAAGCGAAAATAAAAAGAATATGGTCTCGGGTTCGGACTTGAATGTGGAAACAACACTGACTATTCCACAGACATGTCATGACTAATTATTTGTCCTGTTACAGTCTATTCTACTAAGCTGTAGCATTGGCGACATCTTGTGGTAGCTGATGAATTATCTAGAACTCAAAATATAAAGAATTGCTACTTAAATGTGAATGCATAAAATTGGTAAAATAATTTTACATTCTTTGTAAAATGTCTACATTCCTACAAGATTGTAATTGAAAAAGAAGCTTAACCGTCAATCAATTGTTATTGTCAAATATTTTTCCGTGCTCTTCTCTGTCTGTTTTATTCTCGTAAATGTTGTTACTCGAAGGATGGAGCAGAGTGAGACATCTTCATTTCATTGAGAATCTTTGTTGCCTCTTTGGAGCCCCGCCCCTTTTCATTGAAACACTAACAGCGCCAAACTTTGTGACTGTGCTAAGAGAAAATGAGCTGTGGAGCTGGGGAGCCACAGTGGCGCAGAGTGCATTCCGTTACAGGAGTAATACCGCGGTCCAGACACGGGCACCGAGCCGTGGCGGTTCGGGAATTGATTATTTTGTTTGGCGGAGGGAACGAAGGGATCGCCGAAGACCTCCATGTTTACAACACTGGTGAGCTAACGCTACCTAGCTGCCTCGGCGGCTAATGTTTTTAGCCTCCAAAGTACGGCAGGGAACGAGCTTTTGGTTGTTGGCATGTTTTGCTCCGTTATCTTAACTTTAACGTCATATTAAAAAGTAAACGTTTTCCCTCCCGAGGTTCACACTAACGTTGGCTCTTTGGCACCAAACTACATTGTGTTACAAAAATTCGACCGCATATAGAAATACGCCATTTAGTGCGTTTATTGTTTCTGTAAAAGAGATGCTAAGATTTAAAAACTTTGCTATAAGTTTTTAATTTATGTCCTTTAAATAACTAACATTAGCTTAACATCACAACTGATACCATTTCTCAAGGTATCCTACGATGTACATTTAATATTTATGTTTATATTCATTTTTTCTTCTTATTGTTTTGTCCTTCTCTTGTAAGTAAACAGAAAATCCTCTAGATTTAATATTTACTACTGAGAAAATGTACCCAGTAGGTGGCAGTAATTAAATTTGGATATTTGACTTTAGAAGATTTATATTTGAAAGCAAAGCTTAGGGGAAAGTGGGGCTAACCTAGCCTAGCTTAGCTTAACCTTAACCTGTAAGTTGTACATAGTCATTTTAAATAGAAATAGTTTAACACGGGTGGTAAAAAGGAACAACGTAAATTTTAAAACATTTCAAACAAAATTTGAAAGGGAAAAAACAAAATTTTAAAACATTTCAAACAAAATTTTTCATGTGGAAGCAGCAGTCACACCCCAGTGATGGAACAGGCCTTGCATTTGTACCTAGCAACACCTGCAGGCCAAAAAGGGTAGCTACATGCTTTGTGCAGAATATACCATTTGAATATAAACAAAACTAACACACCAGCGCATACTAACATACTAATCTTCTAATTATATATTAAAATGCGTTTTGTACACTTATCATATTTCACAGTTAACAGTATGTACTCATTATTTTACTCTTATTCCTTTAGTCTCAAAGCAGTGGTTCCTGCCTGCAGTGAGGGGAGACATCCCCCCCGGCTGTGCCTCCCATGGCTTTGTTTGCGAGGGCACACGGATCCTTATGTTTGGAGGCATGGTGGAGTACGGCAAATACACAAACAGTCTTTACGAACTCCAGGTGAAGTTTTAATACTAACCTTTAATTCATCCTGGAAAATGAAAAGTAAATGAAAACTAATCTCTGCTCCTGCGTTGCTCAGGCGAGTCGCTGGCTTTGGAAGAAACTGAAACCCAGAGCTCCAAAAAATGCTCCACCTCCTTGTCCCCGGATCGGTCACAGCTTCACCCTGGTGGGGAATAAGTGCTACTTGTTTGGAGGGCTGGCCAATGAGAGTGAAGACCCCAATGGGAATGTGCCGAGGTGACGTATCTGAAACAGGTCATCGTTTGAAGTGATGTTGAAAACACAGACTCCCGTTGACCCGGTGGTCAACTTTCTCAGGTACCTGGGAGACCTCTATGAGCTGGAGCTGCAGGCAGCATCAGGCGCGCGGTCCTGGAGCGTCCCGGAAACAAAAGGCGTTGGTCCTTCAGCGCGGGAGTCTCACAGCTGCGTGGCCTTCAGTGGACTCACTTCTAATAGGCTGTTCATCTTCGGAGGAATGCAGGGGTCTCGGCTGAATGACCTCTGGCAACTTGACCTTGGTAAAATGTTTCTCATATTAAAATTGTTTTAACAATAAAAAGACGTTAATAACTGTATCTCAAGTGGGTACGTATTTCAAGTTTTTAAAGATTATTATTCACGTCTTGTTTTTAGACACAATGGTTTGGTCGACGCCTGAAACAAGAGGCTCAAGACCGTTTCCCAGAAGCCTTCACTCTGCCAGTGTTATTGGAAACAAGTAACTGATTTTCTTCATTACTTCTTGAACGTTATTATTGAACAGGTGGTACAGCAGTCATTCAAAGTTTTTATTGGTTATCAGGATGAATGCAGTGCTTCATGAATGTAGAACATTTATAACCATGTCTTTTGGCTTTTGTAATTTTGTCTTTGTTTGTTGTAATAAACATCAGGGTTTCTCTCCTCCTGCAGGATGTATGTTTTCGGAGGCTGGATCCCTCTAACAGAGTCAAACAAACACGGTGTCTCCGGAACCAAATGGATCTGTTCTGGTTCTTCAAGTGTGCTCAACCTGGGTCAGTACTTTCTTACTCCTTTGTTAGTTTTGTTGTGGTTGTCAAAGGGACAGAAAGTTCACAGTAATTTTCCTGCTGTAATCAATACTAAAAATCCTGAAAATTGGGAGCATTTTATGAGAAAATTGGAGATGATTAAAACTCAAACATTTTCTCTTCATTTTTTTTTATTTAAAAAAAGTTGCATTAAATCTGTATTTTATTTTAGTCTATTTAAAAAAAGTTGCAAGTGCATTAAATCTGTATTTTATTTTAGTCAAGATTATGCTGAAATATCATCTGCACCGTTCATTCCCATTGAAAGTTTCCAACATTAAATATTTGCCGCTCTGTTATTATTTCATGAGTGACTTTATCATCGCTGTCAGAACCAAACCCGTCTTGTTGACTTGTCATCAGCTCCATCCTTGTCGTCCTCCCTGATACAGACACCATGTGCTGGCTGACCTTGAGTCCAGAGGAGCAGGATGACATCGAGTCCCAGCTCCAGAGTCAGGGACCTCAGAGCGATGATCCGTACGCCTGCAGGCCCAGAGCCAGAGCTGGGCACTGTGCTGCCACCGTCGGCTCCAGGGTCTACATCTGGAGCGGCCGTGACGGGTACCGCAAAAGCTGGAACTACCAGGTCTGCTGCAAGGATCTGTGGTACTTGGAAACAGGTGGAGAACTCTTTCACAAACGGAATAATCCCAGGCCAAAACAGTCACTGGATGTAAAACCTCACTCTCTGTTGGCAGATCGACCTGGCACTCCAGAGGCCGTGTTACTCATCAAATCTACAGTCAGCATGCTACATGTGGCATGGCGCCCCCTGGCTACAGCAGACTGCTACATCCTTCAGATTCAACCTGTGGGTCTTTCACAAACAGAAGCCACAGATCCAGCTTCCAAATCAGAGGAACTCAAGCAAACAGACCAAGAAAAGCAGAGTAAGAATTTTACTGGTCACATACTCTTTAACTGTGATATAGTGTAGAAAAGAAAAGAAAAACATAAATGTTAACATGTTTCTGTTTGACTCCTCAGGTGACGCCTGTCCAAGTGAAAGAACCACAGAGAAAACTTCTTCTCAGGTAAAAAAAAAAAAGAATTCTTGTAGAAATTTTTTCAACATTATGTTAAAAATATTGTCTAGAACACATGTCAAACTCAAGGCCCGGGGGCCAAATGCGGCCCGATAAAACATCTTTTAGACTCTATTCTGTTATCGGAGTCTGAATGACATATTATTTTAAAATATTGCCAGATTATCTTTAAATAAAAAAATCACGAAAATGGAAATAACTGTATTTTCTTTCAATGAAGTAAAAATTAAGTACATTTTTTCATTGTATTCCACTGTGGCCCAGCACCAAATGACCTACGGACTGGTCTGCGGACCGGAGGTTGGGTACCCCTGATCTATACAGCTGAAATGCTTTTGTTGGAGCTTTCCTTTTTATTTTCAGGTCACTTCATTACAACAGGAAACTAAAACAAAATCAACCAGTGGTTCGACAGGAGTCCAGACTCCAGGAATGAGGAGTGCAACAGGGAAAGACTCAGAAGACTCCACCTCCAAAATCAGCTGTAAGTGTTGTTTAATTAATCTATCATTTTGTTTTGACTTTTTTTTCACAGGGGCCATTAAAAAAAGTGTAGAATTATTTTAAAACCAATACGGCTGTGAAATTAAGACGTTGTCGTTCTTTGACATCAGAAATGTGTATTTTACTGTTAAAAAGACCAGGAGCATACAGCTCCACATCTTTGACCTGTAGGTGGTGCTCTACAGTCAATGCAACTTACCTACCACAGACAGTAATTAAAGTTAAAATTAAATCTGAACCTGGTTGAAACTTTTACACAGTTTCACTGAGTTCCTGTTTAATGTTGTTGTTGTTGTTTATATATGGAGACTGGAGAACTGTCCAGGGTGCTGAGCTCCACTGGGATTGGCTCCAACTCCTCAATGACCATAATTAGGATAGTTGTAGAAGATTTAAAAAAATAAATAAACTGCCAATGACATATTTTTAAAAGTTGTAGAAGATTTAAAAAAATTAAAAAAATAAACTGCCAATGACATATTTTTAATAAATCCTAATAAAATGCCATTGAGTGAGACAAATCTTTTTCACTTTTTCACTTGTTTTTTTTCTTCCTAGCTACAGGAAAGGAGACATTACCAACAGAGGGCAGCAGTCGGCTCCTGTCAGGTAGACGGTAGATTATGTTCAGTCTGATGGATCTATATTTTAGATGAGTTTTCAAAAGTTAATTATATTTCTTTTTAACTAATTATTTATTTATTTTTACAGATAAACCTGTTTCTGGTGACAACACAGGAGATTTCTACCCTGATACAGCTCAGGTTTGTTTCATTTAAAAATACTTACATCTAATAAAGTGCTAGAAAAACTTTAAAATCTTTGATTTAAACTAACAACGTTCACTTCTTAGGTTCAACAGAGTCCAGATGAAACAGTGTGGTTTGATGTTGGTGTGTTCAAAACACTGTTCGCTGTGATCACCCACTACTTCCTCCCCCCTGACGGTGACCAGGCGTCCACAGCCGTCAGCAGCCGGACACAAAATAATAAGGAGGTGCCGACCTAGCGTTCTTTAGGTCCTGAATACATAAACCCCAAGGTCGGGCTTAGACGTGTATCTTCTGTCCTTTCCCCCCCAGAAGCTGCCTGGGACTCAGGACTACCAGGGCAGGGAGAAGCGGGAGCTGAGTCCTGGTCAGACCTACAGGTTCAGAGTTGCAGGAATCAACTGTTTTGGTCAAGGAAACTTCAGCCACATCAGTGAGTTCAAGACGTGCCAACCTGGATTCCCTGGAGCGCCCTCTGCTGTTAGGATTAGCAAGGTGAAATCCAAGGGAAATTCATATCCATTTACAGCAATGTCTTTTGAGCCACGGGATATATTAAACATTAGAAAAATCCCAAGCTGCACTACCAAAGAAAATTGTACATGTAATAAAATATAAAGATCTTCTAGGTTCAGTTCACTCAGCCTATTTAGTTGAACACAATACTGATGTACTTGCAGGAATTGAAGAAAAACAGAAGATCTGTAAAAAAAAAGTGTCTTTTTTATAGCTATCTGCTGCCACCTAGTGGAAGAGTAATTTTTAGTTTGCCTGTTACTGTTGCACAGATGAACAACAACTAATTGTATGCATGTAACCAATGTTTCTCTGTAGGCCAGTGATTCTGTCCACATCACATGGGAGGCTCCGGCCTCTCCGTCCGGCCGGATCCTGGAATATTCCATGTACATGGCGGTGCGTAAACTATCCCACCACAAATCGCTATCAGAACGGTCAGATGGCATTCATCAGGATTTACCGTGGCACAAAGACGTCCTGCACGGTCAGCTCCTCCCACCTGGACAACGCTCACATCGACAGCTCGGCCTCCAACCGACCAGCAGTCGTCTTCCGCATCGCTGCCAAAAATGAACAAGGATATGGGCCGGCGACGCAGATTCGCTGGATTCAAGGTTCAGGAAAACAATTTATATTTGATTTTTTGTTTGTTTGTTTGTTTTTAATGATATGAGACATTTGCTTTCATCAGGTCTCACCTCCTTCATCAACCTGCTTCTGTCTTTCAGATCCCACTAAACTGCGAACATCTGCGTCCAAACCCACAGACAGCAGCTCCAAGGATGACCAGAACACGGTTGACAGGTACCTGGACTGAGTCCTCCCTGGTTTTTTCTTTGGATATTTGACTCTGATTTCTTTATTATTTTTTTTGTTGACTTGTCTTTTATTTTGCTTTCCTTCTTTGCAGCTCCAGCTGAAAATGTTTCCTCCGTTAAGTTAAGGAAAATCTGTGCTCAGGTGGGTGGCAGTTACTGCCGCTGAGATATGACGTGTTTTACATTTTTATTTTATATTTATTTATCACATTAATTATGCCCTTGTAAATACAAACTGTAGGTTTAAAGGAAGTTGCACCACTTGAGTGTTTTATAGTTGACGGTTGAGTGAAAAGTGAAATGTAGAATGTTGATAGAGCGCCACTGTTCCTTTTTAATATTTATTTACTGTAGTTTTTAAATGTGCCTCAGCTTTGACATTGTTACTAACACTATATATGAAATGCTGGTATTTTTACTTTTGTTATTATTTGTTAACATGTTTATTCATGAGATGTTTAGGCTTGTACTGTTTTCTGTTTATATTTTATTTTTTATAACTTCAGTCTTTAAACTTTTAAATCATTTGTGAAAAAAAAAGAATTTAAATATATTTTTCATTATTAAAATTTAATCAATGACTAATTAACCAGCACATTATTCAACAACCTAAAACGCAGTTTGACTGTGATTTTGTGGAATAAAATTAAGTTGTGACGTCAACTTTCAGAATTTATTGTGTCTCTTTGCTGCCCAAACACAGTAGGATTTTTTTTATTCCAAAACTCATTCTGTAGTAAAAAAGTATTTTGTTTTTTTGTTTGTTAATGTTTTTTTTACTGCACCAGAAATATACGTTAACAAGTGAATGCAATTTATTTTTTAAGTTATATTATATAAATATTTAGGTTAAGTAAATATCAGAATTTGCTTTTATATCGTTTGCTGTTCAGTTTTGTTAAACGTTTGCGCCTCTGTACGAAGTAAAACATTACTTAACGGAGAAAAAATATTCCGGCGCTAATATTTTTTGTCAACACAAAATACACTTCGGAAAAATTTCCCATGATGCCACGGTTCGTAGTTTGCAGAGGAGCTAGCTGCTAGCGCTGGCTAGCAAACAAAGCAGCAAACTGGAACGAAAGGGATTTCGTACAAAAAAGGAGGTGAGTAACATTATTACGTTTATTGTCACCACATTAATTAAAAGACAGTTGTTCAGTTGTGAATAATTTGTAATAATTCGTTTATCTTATCGGGAATATCCACAGGGCTAAATGGATTAGCCGGAATAGGGAGCTATAGCTAGTCAGTGGAAATGTAGTTACTTGTGTAATAAGGCGCTATTAGTCTTTAAGAAACTTAATAGAAAATGTGGTTACCTTTTTAAATGCAGGCGGTAATAACGCGAACTTTAATAGTGACTGTGTGTCGGTTTGAATTAAATTATTGAGCAGAGAAAACATTAAGTCGGTACTGTCCGATAACGGACACACCACAACAGCTAACTGGCAAGTTATCGTATCAACTAGCGGGACACAGAGCGGGAGGTTTGAAAAAAATGTCACCAACACAACACGGTTTGTAAATGAAACAAAAGCAGAATGTGAATCGATTATAGGAAATATACAATGTGTACAATTTTCAAACAGTGGTATTGAACTGTTATCGATTTAAAACTATAAATGTATATGTTACGTAACAAGTTGTGGTGGAGTCAGTAAGTTGTGTTATGGTTCGATATCTATACAGGAAACTGACTGTAACGTTGAAAATGAACGTCATAATCAGCGCCTGTTACCACAACAGAAGCAGCAGCGTTTGAGTGAGCTGTTTAATCACTTGATGCTGACTGAGAGTCTTTTCTAGACTCTTGAGAGGCCGATGATTTTAATAAGTAGCTGGGGGACTCGCTGAGCCTCCATGGTTACTGACGAAAAACAATGGTGCACTTCAGTTTGTTCTCTGAAAACACCACACACTCTCAGAGTGAGACAGGAGCAGGCAACTCCACCACAGCGGGTGCTTTTTTTATCTACAGGACTTTGGTCAGTTTTTCTGTTCTTTATGTACTTTATCTCTGACCTCTGTTTTTCAAAGGTGAGATGACCTCGTCCACCCCCGGCCAGATGGCGGATCTCATCCCGAACTTGCCGCCTGGGATGGGAAGGTCGGCAGCTTTGTTGGGGCTATCTGCCGGGCTGGGGGGAGCAGAGATGGAGCTGCAAAAAATGCTCATAGACGAGAGGATGAAATGTGAAAACCACAGGACCAACTACGAGACACTCAAGGCTGAACACAAATGGTGAGTTTGCATTGACATTACATTACAAAACAATGCATTTAACAGACACTTTTATCCAAAGGATTTGAGTCAGTCGATCAACAATCAAGCTACAGTAAACAGACAAAATACAAAAATACATAAATAACAAATCATTTTAACTACAGTAGTAATAAATAATAAATAGTAAAAGTACAGTTACAGTCGTAGTAGGTCATAGAGTAAGAAGAATAATACGTCATAAGAATATGTTTAGATATGTTAAGATTGATACGATAACCTGCCAGTTAGCTGTTTTGGTGTGTCTGTTATCGGCTCAATAATTGAATTCCAACCGACACACATTCACTGTTGAAGTTTGTGTTATTATCGCCTGCATTTACTGTACGTAAAAATGTTTTTTTTTGTGTGTGTTTTCCGTTCTAAATGAGGAATAATTTAAAAGACGCTGGACGACTGAGAATGAGTTCAATGTCCTGTAGTTTTCACAGGTTTGATCCACCTTGTCTTATATTTGTAGTCTTCAGGAGGAGTTCACGCAGTCGCAGTTAGAACTGAAGCGTGTGCTGGGCGACAAGCAGGCTCACCAGGAGAAAGTTCAGCTGGTGGTGGCTGAGCTACAAGGGGAGCTGCTGGACAAAACCAGGGAGTTGGAGGAGCTTCGACTGCAGGTACACTTTCACCAAGAACTGATGAAATATCTTTGGCCCCCTGCCACCCCTCAAACACTTTCTATTCCTTTATAATTTTGATTTGTCATATCATTGACTTTCACATGAACAAAAGTGATGAAACTGTGTTTGTTGAACAGGTGATGACGCCCCAGCGGTTGGAGTTGCTCCGAGCTAATGTGCAGCAGGACATGGAGGCTCCCTTCAGAGAGAGGTTCAGCAAGCTTGAGGAGGTATTTCCTAAATGACTAAAATGTTTTGTTTTTTTAAGTGCACAAATTTAATTGTGTATTAATACGTTTTTGAGTTTTTCATTGGTTGATATAATTTTCCTTCAGTAAATCTATAAATGTTCACATAGAGCACACGTTCAAACTCAGGCCCGGGGGCCAAATCTGGCACGTAAGATCCTGAGATCCTGTCAGATATGTACTAGAGTTTGTCGCCAGTATATAGCGACTATATACTGGCAGGATTTATAGTATTAGCGGTGTATGCGCTATGTTATAGCACATACTTTTTTTTTTTTTGGGCTGTGAAAAAAAGATTTAAATTAAAAAAGAACTTGAAAGTCTGCAGAAAAGAGACAAAATAAGAGACAAATACCACTGTTTTATTTTTTAAATTAAATTTCTCTTTTTTCTTTTCTTTTGATTTTTCTGTTGTTGATAATCACTCATATATTTATTTAATACATGAATAGCAGCTGCAATGAGGTCATGTGGGTAAAATCACTGCCTTTTCTCAGTAAAATGTTGTCACCATGACAATGAAATGTGCAGCAATGAGTGACAGACTAAAATAAACTGCCTCTTAAAAACCACTTGAGGATTTAAGCCTTTAATGAAACAGTGGCCATTTTCCCTCTGATTACTCCCTCTTTACCTGAGTCACACTGTAACTGTGAATCTGATTCGTGTTTCTTTTTTTTATCCCGCAGGAAGCAGAGAAGTACAGGTCTGAGTACAACAAGCTGCGGTATGAGTACACTTTGCTCAAGTCCCAGTTTGACCACCAGAGGGAGGAACATGGTCGAATCCTGGAGGAGAGGAAGATTCACTATGAGGCACAGGTGTGTGTTTTTAAACTTTGATCCTCGGCAGCGTTCATCGTTGAGAAGGTGAAACCTTAAATGTTCAATGTCCTGTGAACAGTTGTCTCGCCTGGGGAAGGATCTGGAGGAACTGGTGGCTCACTACCAGGGCTCCGACCCGCTGCGTGACGGAAAACGTGTGGAGGCTCTACTCAGGGAGAAGGCACAGCTACACCAGCGAATAAAGGGCCTCGAGGCAGAGGTGGCAGAGCTTCAAGCCCAAAAAGACAACTCGGGTCAACAGGCGGAAAACGTACATCGCATCCAGATCAGACAGATTTCCGAGTCCCAGGCTGCGGTGAAGTCACTGGAGGTAAGTGCACAGATGAACAGCCGTAACTGCATTTCACTGCATTTCACTGCATTTTCTGTGAGATTTAAATCTGACTGCTGGTTTGGTGGCACCAGGCGGAGCGGCAGTCGTTGCGTCTGCAGCTGGAGCGAATGGAGCGTGAGCTTCACCAGAGCCACGAGCAAGTCAGCCAGCTGACAGGGCGACTGCACAAGGCTGAGAGAGAGGTCAACTCCCTCACATGTGAGGTACATAACACTGACTCATGGCTTGTTTTTTAGTGAATGTTTATACAGTATATAATGTCATACGGTGCTCAGGCTTTGAATAGGTTCAAAGGTTGGAGAGATGATGCGTCAAAACCAGAATTTTATCCTGTTGGTTAACTCTTAGAACGACCTTTAAACTTGAGTTTTACAGAAAAAAAATCTATATAGACCTGGGTTCGACCTGATGTTTAACATACACACAATTTACTCAGTATAGTAGTGTGAACTAACTCTGACCAAACATACGTCTGCCAAAAGAAAAGAGAATTAAATATGTCAAGGAATTTCATTCATAAAGGTTTTAGTTAGGAGGAAAATATCAATACACTGAAAGATTGGGATATTTGTTTCATGAATCTGTGTCAATATTCTACAGCACTGTATTGGTTTGTTTTTATTAACATTTAACAGTCAAATATTCATGACGTTGATTCATTTTATTTAGCTTTTATTTCTTTTCTAATTAATTTTATTTTCTTTAGTGACTGCCAGTTCATTCTTTAACAATATTCTGATTTTTTTCTTACCTTTTTTTTCTTGATTCTCAGATTGAAAGCCTGAAACATTCTCACAAACTGGAGACTGCAAACGTCAAACTGGAGTGTACCCGCTCCAAGGGGGAGGTGGAGAGGGAGAAAGATGCACTGCAGGGGCAGTTAGATGGTAATAACCCAGCACAATAATTCTGCTCTGTAAATGCATTTTTTTACTGCTTGTTGGAGTTAATGTATTAGCCAGGTTTAAACTATTTTAGGAACTAAAGCAGTCTGACAGTCACAGGAAGAAAGAAAACAAATATAATTTTGCTGCGTTGAAGTGAAGAAAGTGAGAAAACTCTGTGTTTTAAACCAGTAAATTCTCCTTCACAGGACTGCAGGCAGATGTGGAGGTGCTGAAAGACACAGTGGAGCGACACAAGGCGGCGTTGGTGGAGAAGGAGAGGGAGCTGGTGAGGAAGGTGCAGTTGGCGCATGAGGAGGAGTTCCACAAAATTGCAGCACTCCATGAAGAAAAGTAAGTATTCTCAAATTTATTTCTATTATTTATTTTTATTAATTAGAAGCTTGGAGAGGTGTGTGCACTATGTTGTTAAGATTTTGAAGTTGTATGAAGTGTTACATTCATATTATTATCATACGGTATTAATCTCCTTCAGTGGGTTCTGTCATGATAAAATTACCCTTTGATTTTAATACAAATTTAAATTTTAGGTATAATTTCTGCAGCCTTTAGCAACTGTCTTTAATTATAACACACTGAATGTGACAAAGAAGAACAAAATCAAGGAGGTAGAAAATAGAATCAAACTTCACTTTATTGTTAATTTCTGCTGAATAGAAATAATTTAAATTTAACGTCATTTCTTCATGATACATAATGTCTACTCTTTTGTATCCTCAGGCTGGAGTTGGAGAGCCGCCTTGCCGCGCTGGAGCAGCAGAGGGCGCTGCAGGATGCGGCAGATCATGCCCAGAAGGCAGAATGGGAAGCGCGTGTCCATAGTGCCCAGCAGGGGGAGGAATCGAGCCGTAGAGAAGTGCAGATGCTGAGGTGAGTAGGTCTTCAGCTGGATCACTGCAAGGACAGAGGGACAGTTGTTAAAAAAAATGAAAAATAAAACAATTATTCATTTTAATTAAATTTTTTTTCCCTTCAGAACCAAACTTCAACAACAAAGCTCACAGCTGGAGGAGCTGGAGAGACAGAGGGCAGAGGTCACGGAGCTGCAGCAGGTGAGGAAACAAGTTTAACAGTTTACAAAAAGTTAGGAGTTAGGACAACCCTGGTTTATTGTGAATATATTCAGGTTAAGCCAAGGGAGGAATTGTGGTTTTGTATGAGGAAGTCAGGAGTGGCAGAGAAGTATGTTAGTTTGGTGCAGGACATGTATGAGAATAGTACAACAGTAGTGAGGTGTGCTGTTGGGAGGACAGAAGACTTCAAAGTGGAGGTGGGACTACATCAAGGATCGGCCCTGAGCCCCTTCTTGTTTGCTGTGGTGATGGACAGATTGACAGATGAGGTCAGACAGGAGTCCCCATGGACTATGATGTTTGCAGATGACATTGTGATCTGTAGTGAGAGTAGGCAGCAGCTAGAAGAGAACCTAGAGAGGTGGAGGTTTGCACTAGAAAGAAGAGGAATGAAGGTCAGTCGCAGCAAGACAGAGTACATGTGTGTAAACGAAAGGCAGAACAGTGAAATAGTGAGGCTACAAGGAGCAGAGGTGGTGAAGGTGCAGGAGTTTAGGTACTTAGGATCAACTGTTCAGAGCAGCGGAGACTGTGGAAGAGAGGTGAAGAATAGAGTACAGGCAGGATGGAACAGCTGGAGAAAAGTGTCAGGAGTGATCTGTGACAGAAGAGTGTCAGCTAAGGTGAAGGGAAAGGTTTACAGGACAGTGGTGAGACCAGCCATGATGTATGGTTTAGAGACAGTAGCAATAGGCAGAAGACAGGAGGAGGAGCTGGAGGTGGCAGAGTTAAAGATGCTAAGATTCTCTTTAGGAGTGACAAGAATGGACAGGATGGTTAGGAGAAAAAGACGAAGCCAGATTGAGATGGTTTGGACCATCTCACCATCTTTGGATGTGCAGAGGAGGGACAGTGGATACATTGGTAGATGAATGTTAGAGATTGAGCTACCAGGTAGGAGAAAGAGAGGAAGACCAAAGAGGAGATATATGGATGCAGTGAGGGAGGACATGCAGATAGTTGGAGTCAGAGTAGGAGATACAGAGAACAGGGAGAGATGGAAATCAATGATTTGCTGTAGCAACTCCTGAAAAAAAGGGACAAGGCCGAAAGAAAAAGAAGATGTTCAGATTAATCTTCCACCCCCTGGTGGTCAAATAAATTAATAAAACCTTTTTGATTTTGAACCCAAACCTAAACCACATGGATGCGACTAGATGTTGATCTGTGGTTTGATTAGTGTGAACTTGATTTTCAAAAAGTTGTGTGACTTCATTATAAACGTGCCTTTATTATAAACTGTGTTACCTTTGACCCAACAGAAGAACCAGGAGCTCGGTGTCCAGCTGGGGGCGCTGTCTCACTCTGAGAGTCAAATGATGGAGGCTAACCAGCGGCTCAAGGAAACACTGGACAGAGTGAGGGACGAGCTGAGGATTACTCGATCCCAGGCGGAGAGGAGCCAACAGGAGGCGGAGAGGTACGTCGTCCTCCCGGTCGTAAGGTCGTTCGCAGCACAAGGTTCGAAAGTCCGTCGACCGTGAAGTTTTCTCTCTGTGTCAGGATGTCGGAGGATCGGCAGGTCGAGTGGTTGGAAGAGAAGCACAAACTTCAGGGGCAGATGACCGACCTGAGGCAGAAATACAGCGGCGTCAAGGAGAAGCTGCAGAGGGCAGCAGCAGCTCAGAAGAAGGTACAGTGCTGCACCATGAAACGTCAAGAGTTTGTTAGTACTGACTTCAGTCTGACTTCTTCTAATTTAGGATTTTCTTTGTACGAAAAGTAAAGCTGTTGAAATTCAAACATTCACATAATAATACAATATAATGATAATATAATTTGAACGTCATTGATCCCACCACATGATTGTCACCTGCAGGGGGCAGCTTGTTAACAACAAGAAAAATGTTTGTTTTTTTTTTAATCTAATGTTTTAACACTGTTTCCTAGAGAAAAACACAGACGGAGAACAAGGAGAAGAGACTTCAGGATAAGATCCAGCTGCTTCAGGCAAAGGTTGAAGAACTAGAGCTGGAAACTGCTGCAGCCAAAAAGTACGAACACTTTCTGACGGCGACAAGTACAGTTTTATGATGAAGTATTAACTAGTAGTACTAACCGGAGTTCTGCTCCTTCTCCTGCTGGTCCAGATTTTCTTCTTTCTCAGAAGAACAAGCCCAACTCAGCAGACGCTTCAAGGAGCTGCAACGAAGACACAGCGAGTTCCGGCGCCTCCTGTTGGACGGACAGGTTTCATTCAGCGGTGCCGTTTTACATACATCGACACCAAACACGTTCCGACACCTCGCCACTGAAGGAGCGATGTCCAACATTCCAGTAAGTACACTGGGAAATACTACAGTGGACCTCCAGACAAAAGTCACAAAAAGTATATGTAATGAAATATACATATTTTCAGGAATCAAATTTAACTTGGTGTAAAACCTGAGATTAGTTGAACAAACCTCTTGATGTACTGGCAGGAATTGAAGAAAGAGCCAATCAGTGTTGCACATAGACAAATGAAGAAAAATGCTGAAATAAATAATGGTTTTCAGTTAAATTAGACAGTGACTAAACTAGCGTGGCGGTCGTTACAGTGGCTTTTCGTTGTATTTGCCGCAGGAGGAACAGAATCAGAATCAGATGGCGTTACTGCGTCAGCGGCTCGAAGAGCTGGAGAATACTCAGCAGCAACAGCTGGAGGAACTGGGATCTTTGGTGCAAAGAGAACGAGAGTCCGCGCTAAGTACTGGGTCCTGACAGTACTGCACTCTGGACTATGTTTCTCTGAGAGACTGAGCCGAAATACTTTGGGTTTGTACTTGCTTTACCTGTACGTCAGAAGGTTTGAGCCACAGGTCAGGTATTCATCAACGTGCCACAGGTCACAGGAGCCACAGGTCAGGTATTCATCAACGTGTTGTTGCCAAAATGAGTTTGCACTCTGCTGTGAATGAATTTAGAAATAATAAAAAAAAACAATTATAAAGATTGATTCCATCTAAAGTCAAACTTTACTCCACTACTGCACATAAATATTTCCATTCAAATATTAGCTCCATTGTTTTTAGAGAGTAGCTCATTTTTTTCCTGGCATGTTTACATAAAAATGAACAATACGTGTTGTCGCAGTCGATAGCAGTTACAAACGTTGAGCGTACACGTGTGCTGTGGGTTTTAAATGCCGCAGCACCTTTTGTGTCGTCGTCTACATCCTCAGGGCGCGGTGGTTTTTCTAATTCTTCTCTTCAGTGTTTGCTTTTTAAGCCACTCTTCTATAAACACTTTAAAAACTTTTTTTTTGCACAGACATACTCTGTAGTGTATAGTATCATGTTTTTACTTGAAATAAACTACAGTCGGTAGTAAACCCGTGATCATGCACTTGTCATTTATCTAATGCAGGGATCTCCAACCCCCGGTCCAGGGACCGGTGGCGGTCCGTAGGTCATTTGGTAGCGGGCCACAGTGAAAAAAACTACTACTTTAAACGACTAATTTAATATTCAAATATAATAATAGATATAATAATAGATCAAATATAATAATAGATAATATAATAAAAGATAATCTGTCAATAATTCAAAACATTCAAAGATAATCTGTCAATAATTCAAAACAACAGGTCAAAGGTCATTCAGACTCTACTACTAACAGAATAAAGTCTAACATAATTAATAGTTAGCTGCACGTGCACATACCTTCTCAAGTTCCAGGGTGTGTTTGTGGAGGGTTCAACTTCAGCCCAGACACCCTGCTTGTCCAGAGGACAGGAAGTAACTCTGCAAATGACAGGCGTGTAGTTGATGTGATTAAAGTTGTTCATGTAATTTCAGAAAATTAGATTACCGTATGGAAAAAAAAAATCCCTAAAGAAAGAAAATTATTTCCAAAAAAATGCTTTACTGTACTATGACATTTGCATAAAATGTGAAAATTAATTTTTACAATATATTAAAGATTTCGTTTAAAAGAAAACAAATCTAATTTTGACATGTTGAAGATCCAAAAGACTTTCTATATTAGTGAAAAGTAAACCCCAAACCCTATGACAAAAATGCTAAAAAAAAGTTAAAAAATCTCAAAAATTCCTCAGAATGTAATAAAATATCCCAACACATGCTCCCATGAAGATAATTGTCCTTAAAAAATAAAAAAAAATAGAATTCATAATTTTTTAACATCGGACAAAAAATGACTATCATTGTTTTTTTGTTTTTTTTTCAAAAATAGTTAAAATTTTGTTTTTATTAACACATTTTTATTTATTTTATCTATTATTTGTGTTAATGTTTCTCATCAAAATAGTATTGTGAGAAATCTTTTGTAAAGATTTTTGTTTTGAATTTTTCAAACAATCCGAATTTTGCTTGTCAATTTTGGTTAGATGTTGAAGATTGATAAAAAATTTTGGAAATTTTATTTTAAAATTATATATTTTTTTAAGTTTAATTTTCAAAACAGAAAATTAAAAAAAGAAATTAGAAAAATGTTTAATTAAATCAAATTTAACTGGACAGATGTTGAAAAAGTTTTATCTTTCTTAAATGTTACTTATTAAAATAGAACGTTTTGAAAAAAATCTAGCACTTCAAATTTAGCACTTCTTTGGTCAGATGTTAAAAAAAATCAGATGATTTTTTTAACATCTCTGCATGTTTCTCATCAAATATGAGCATTTTTAGAATTTTTTGAATTTCCTTTTTAGAATTTTGTCAAAATTTAAACTTTTTGTGTCTTTTTTTGGTCAAATGGTGATAAATTGACAAGTTTTGACAAGTTGACAAGTTTTGTAAAATTATTTTTCAAAAATATTATCGTTTCCTGCATTTTTCATATCAAATTAGGGCATTCAGAGAACATTTTTTTTATTTTTTTTTAATCAAAATCTAAACTTTAATGTCATTTTCATGTAATTTTTTATTTTAAACCTTTGTTTTTGAAGTCTTTTTTGGGAAACCATTAGTTCTTTTCTTGAAATTTAACCACAAAAAAAGAGATTTGTTCAGGAATTTATTGCTATAGTATTTTACTGTGATCAAAAGTTGTCGTACCAAAAAAGTTTATTTGTTCTAAATTTTAACAACAAAAATCGACATAGCTAAATATTTTAAGGCAAATGAGTGTATTTTTAGTCATTTTTGAGAAACTTTTTTTTCTGAGATTTGTTCAGGAATTTATTGCTATAGTATTTTACTGTGATCAAAAGTTGGCGTACCAAAAAAGTTTATTTTTTCTAAATTTTAACATCAAAAATCGACATAGCTAAATATTTTAAGGCAAATGAGTGTATTTTTAGTCATTTTTGAGAAACTTTTTTTTTCTGAGATTTGTTCAGGAATTTATTGCTGTGGTATTTTAAGGCAAATGAGTAAAACTTTCCTTGAACCAGTGTCTGCTGGTTGTTGTACCTCCTGCAGTTGATCTTTGGTTGTTCTCTCTTCATTCCAGAACTCACCTCCTCCTGCTCCTGCTCCTGCTCCTCCTTCCCCACCTCCTCCTCTTCCTCCTTCTCTTCCTCTTCCTTCTCCTCCTGCTCGTCCTCCTTCTTCTCCTCCTTCTCTTGCTCCTTCTCCTTTTCCTCCTCCTCCTTCTCCTCATCCTCCTCCTGCTCCTGCTTCTTGTCCTCCTCCTCTACCTCCTTCTCCTCCTCCTCATCGTCCTCCTTTTCCTCCTCCTTCTCCTTCTCCTCAATTTCTGTCAAAAACTAAAAAGTTTTGACAGAAAAATTTTCTTTAAAAATGTTTGCTTTTCCTGCATGTTTCTCATAAAATTAGAGCATGTAAAGAACGTTTTTCAAGAGCAGATACTTTTTTGTCATTTTTGTTTAAAAACTAAAAAATTGTTTTTTAAAATTTTGTTTTCCTGCATGTTCCTCATAAAATTTGGGTATTTGGAGAACATATATAGACATTTTTTTTCGATAAAACTTTCTTTCAAAATGTGAACTTTGTGTCATTTTTGGTCAAAAATTAAAAGATTTTGACTAATTTTATTGTAATTTTGTAACAAAAATTTAGATTTTTTCACGATGGTAAGGCT